ATTATATTGTCACACTCTTTGCTTGACGAAACAAGAGTTAGTGTATAAAGCGCTTTTACTTAATAGTGTCGGTACTCATTTAGATGTTGCAATCACTATTTTATTGAAGTATGATAATTCAAGTGACTTTAAACAAGTATAGCTTCAAACTCTGTTGAAATATATAATGCATATGTTTTAGCCTTTTATGTTAAAAGTCCATCTAGAACCCAGCTATTGTCCTCCAATTATCCTTACACTTGCTGCTGCTTATTACGTAAAATATTATTATTATTATTATTGTAAGGGGATGTAGCAATGCGACCGTCGGGTCTATTGTGCTCCCTTCTGGGCTTAGAGTAGGTCTTTAAGCCCTGTTGCGTCAATAAAAAGTAGTATAGAACCTACTTTACAGAGTTTTATTGTCTCTTCCGTAAGAATATACATTCCAGGAGCCTATTTCGTATGTGCATTAGCGCAGGGCATTCCAACAGCACATGCGTGGCCGACTCCTCATTCTCTTCACAGAATCTATAGTTTGCCTCCGTAAGTATACCCAGTTTTGTAAGGTGGTGTTTTAGCCTACAGTGCCCTGTTAGGATTCCTGTGATGATTCTAAGTTTTTCTTTTTACGTAAAATATATATACGTACAATTAATTAATAATTGGACAATTAATTAATAATTGACAGAAAGTGATCTATTTGTAAAGACGTGTGTAGATGCATTATGTGTGTTGGTATCTACATAGATTGTTCGAATAAAATATTTGCTTGAAATTAAAATTCAATGTCAATTAACCACATAAAGCATATTTTAGTCATGTAATAAATGTAATGTCTTATTCGGGCGTAAATACCATCGAGCTAAAGCCAAACTAAGCTTATTACAATAATTTGGGAAATAATAGTTGTTTATATCCTATAGAGATATGCAGAAAATTACATTTTAAATAAGTTATTTTCAACAAATAGCGATGTTCTTTACATACCAACCCAACAGTTATGTGAATCGCTTAGAACAGTAATTTGAAGGTGGCACAGATTACTGAACTAAATCAGTTATTTTATGCAAATGACTTCATGATGTGCACATTGGGATTGTTTTGAATAAAATCCAGTTATTTCTCTTAAATGTTGAAGCTATTAAAAAGCAAGTTAGCTTAATTGCTAGTAATTGGCACTGTTAACAATTTTAATTAACACGTCTTTCATTTAACTACTGTCAAGGAATTTCGTACTGGCCTATTGCAGTTTTCCAACAATTTCAAAGATCCATTACTCCATTACTGCAAGTTCAATTAAAAGTAACGATACCAAAGTATACATATGAATATATAAATTTCTAGCTTTCTTTTTAGTGGTTGCAAAATGTTTATCCAGAATAAAAAGCAAAGCTTCTACTTTGGTATATTTCAGTCAACTGATTGAATTCAGTTGTTGAGTGTAGCTTTTCTGTATTGCTGCTTAGATTTATTTTACTTGAAAACGAATTAGTGTATGATATTATGTTACATACATTAAAAATTTCTTTTTTAATAAGCATCACTTCTTTATTACATGTATTATTCTCTTAATTTGAATTTCGAAATATGCTTAATCAATTTTAATTACATTTCCTATTTAATAATCTGCTTAATTAATTTCAATATATTCAATTTATTTGATTTAAATATTAAAATTATGTTAATTAGCGCTACTGTTATTATAATGAACTTAATAAGAAGTAACCGCAAACTAAATTTTACTCTTAATTCCAATTGAGAATTGATTAAATAGCTTAATTGCAAAATAATCATTTATTTTTTAAGTTTATTGAGTGATCACTAATTTCAAAAATTTATTCCATGAAATCAATTAGTTCAGCACTTCAATAAAGCGATTCTATTTAAATCAATTAGCATAGTATTAAAGTAAAAGAAAACTGAGTGAATGTTTCAATTTTTTCAAATATGTGGTTCATATAATTGCAATTAAATCGTGATGTTGATAATTGATGGTGTAGATGTTGCTAACATTTTTACTTAATTTATTACAAATATTTATATATACATTTCTGATGTAGACAAACGGACGCCTGTTCAGAAAACGGAATATGAAGTAATCCGCTTGTATCTCATTAATTCAGGTCAAGCTAAGCATCACTGATGCAGGTGTTCTTAAACTTCATAAACCGAAGAGCTGCATTGGTAGCGGATCTGTGGCTTACTTTTTATATTTTTTTCTTTGTTGAATTATTGAAATCACGCAAAACTAATTAAACTTTAATTTGATTTTTTTTTAAATTAAAATTTATAATATATGATTTAATTGGTAAAAACCAATTAATGATTTTACAAAAAGGTGGAAATAGTTTTCAATTTTAACTTTTTTACTTATGGAAATCTTTAATTACTCTCAAGTTTTAGTCACCTTCTTCGACATAGTGTGATATTCTACTTCTATTCCCAAAATGCCATAGAAGTCAAATGCAGCTCATGTAAGTTTTTTAACACTAAATGATGGAAAATTTATCCCATATACCTACTACCAACTTATAAATGACTTGTGTACCTGCATCACGTTTCATTCGGTTAGCCTTTGCTGTGGATTTTCACTACTTGACATTTCTTATAGATGATAGACAAATTCTTTTTCTTGCATTTTTAGATGATATATTCTCACACCAATTAACTGCAATCAAAGTTACTCCGTGCGACACTAAAGAAATTCATTCATAAAACTTCTACTAAAATTATTTGGAAATTACCAAAATTTGTAATGAGAATATTTCTTGGAAATTGTAAATGAGTGCTCAACAATATATCTTTCAGTTCTGAGGTTAACAAAGGCATTTAGAGTAATTTGAGATATTCTATATAAAAGATTTCAAATGAGAAGTTCAAATTTATTGACAAAAAGTTATACAACATATATAAACTCATTGATTTTGTTTTTGTATAATAACAAGTATTTCTTTCATCCCTTAGTAAACTCTAAGGAAGACCCATAATAAAATCAATAATAACATTTCTTGACGTCATTTATTGCGAGCCACCTCTATAATTGGCACAAAGAGTAAATAAGTCACCTCCACCGTTTATAGTTGATTTTTTCCAAGTTGTTCTTGGTTGAGTTTTTTCTTCCAGTACACATTATTCTTGATTTTCTGAGCGCCTGAACAATCCATCCAAATTTTTGTTTACGTATATCTAGTATGGCGAAACATATATTTGGTATCCTGATATTTATTGTTTATTCTTTGATTTCAATGCGGCCGATTATATTCGAACAATTTTGAGTGATGGGTCGAATATTGTACACCTCTGTCTTATTCAAATTCCATTAATTCCTCTTGTTATATATGTAAAAACTCTTGATGTTGTTTCAGACAATTCTATGTGACATACTAATTTCTAACGTAATTACTTCACCTACAGTTCATTATTTACTAATCATTTTTACTATGTATGGTCTACATATACCTAGTGATTGCTTTTTGTTGGTTACAAATTGTGTCACCATATTAAGATGTATACCTATCATTTATTATTAGAATTTTCGATACATATAGATCAACTTTATAAATATAAAATTTCAAGTATTATTTACTAATGCTAAATGCGCGTTTAAAGTTTTATACATTGTGACCGAAAAGTTTTCGGGAAATTTTAAATAAAACGCAAAATTCTTAACCTTCATCAATATTTATTTTATCTCCTTCAAAATATTGCTCCATAGAGGATACCACAAATGCCAAACGTTTCTTCCAATCATCAAAACATTTTTATAGGCGCTTTCCGGTATGGCTTTGAGTTCCCTCTGCGAATTCTGTTTTACGTCTTCTATGGATTCAAAACGCGTTCCTCTGAGTGGTAATTTGAGGTTGGGAAACAGGAAAAAGTCACACGGTGCAAGATCAGGTGAATACGGTGGCTGTTCGATGGTATTTATTGAATGTTTGGCCTTAAAATCGTTGATAATGTTGAACAAATTGAGGTGAATCGGAACAAGCCGGGCGTTGACACGTCGCATACACAAATTGTCCACCAAAATCAAACGAGCCATCTCACGACCGATGCCTAGCTCTCGTGCTATCTCTCTAACACTCACATGAGGATTTTTGAACACGATTTCCTTTGCCTTTTCAATGTTTTCGTCGGTGGTAGAGGTCGAAGGTCGTCCAGAACGCGGCATGTCTTCGACGGTCGTACGACAGTCCTGAAAGGCTTTGTACCACTCATAAACTTGAGTTTTCGATAAAACTGATTCCCCATAAGCCTTTTGTAGCATTCGCAACGATTCTGCACACGAAATTTCGTTCGAAAAACAAAATTTGATGCAAACTCTTTGTTCAATATTTTTTTCCATTGTTTTTTTCGCAACGCACTACTGAGGTGAACTGGTTTCAACAGCTGCCGTAAACGAACTGTCCGACAGATCGCGGCTTCATTTGCCATAGTAATTAAGGACAGTGCTTGCCAATACATAAACTTAAAATATCGAAAAATATACAGCGCGCGAATTTTAAATGAGAATTTCCGAAAACCTTTCGGTCACAATGTATTAAAACACTGGTCGTTTGTCTTATATATGTAATATATTTGCAAATATTAGCTCAGCCCAATGTTTACAGTTTGGGTAATAGATATCAAAAATATTCTAATCTTGTTTTTGCTAATTTGTTAAAAAGGTAGTGTTCTGAAATTCCACCTGCAAGTCTGCAAATATATGCTTAAGAAACTGAGGAACCAGTTCCTTTTATGTAGAAACAAGTTACAACTCTTCTTGTACTTCGTCTTCTATACCAAAACAGTTTACAGCTGCGCAAATCTCTCACTACATCTCTCACGGCGCAAACCAGACAACTGCACAGAGTAGAGTATTTATAGATACTCATATGTTTGTCTCCATTCACTCTTTTAAATTGAGCTGTTTCTGTGTTGAGTTGTTATTATTATGAGTTAGTCCAATATTTTGAGATATTTGTATTTCAGTTTGTGTTTATTTTATACACGTTTGGTTTGTGCTCCCACTATTTTGATGTTTGGCTTAGTTTGGAACGAACTTCTTCTCAGATTTAACGCATTTGCGATGGATGAACAAACAGTACAATCAAGTATCAAAAATGTGCGTGTTTCTCTGTTTTTATAAAAAATATTTAAAATGTTATATTGAGTCACATCGTTAAAAAGTATATCAAAAAAAATTGTTTTTGAAGTGAAAATGTCTGCATTTATACTTACTAAACTTAAAATAATTTGATATGTTTTGATTAAACATATTCACTAAAAGGTTAAACTGATAACCTAAAGGTGATCATAAATATAAATTAAACAGAAGTAACTTAACAACGATTTCAATCATATAAGTTTTGTTTGTCTAACCACTTGAATTAATCTATATCACTATAATGATATAAAATTGTTTTTCCGTATTATCATGTAGTTATTGATTTGGGCACTTTTCTTGTTATTGAAAGTATCTCGTTATTTAATTATAACATGTTTCGTTTGCTTTCATATTTTTGGTTAATTGAAAGTGATCAGCGAAAGTGATCCCAGCAGATGATCGATCACAGAAACATGCGATGAGAAGTGAATTTGAAACAAGTTTGTTGCTTAAATCTTTTGTAATGAATCAGATAAATTATAGGTTGCACTTTTACGAATATATAGAAAATGTTGTCGAATCAAATATTATTTTTTTTCGTTTAAGTGTTTTAGATATTTCTGAAGAGCAATTTTAAGTTCAACACCAGTGAAAATTTTAATAAAAATACACTCAAAAATATGCCCTTAGTCATATTTAATTTAAAGTCGAAGAAAGATTTCAGTGTAGATTTTTTGTTCGTTTGTACAAAATTATTTTTTAAAATTTAATATAAGTATCAATAACAATATAATATTTGTTTATAATTTATTTTCTCTGGCAATAATCTCGTTCAATATTTTTAGTTGATGTAGGATATAGTTTAAAATAAAATTTAGTGTAAAATTTATTTAATTCTAATTTTTATTTTTAATATATTTAATTCAAAATTTATATTTTAGTTAATATTCTTCAAATTTTTATTGTATATTAATATACTAAAGTTTAATAAAAATAATTATTATGTATCAACTTTATACTTGTAGGTTTGGATTAGAAATTTGTATAATTTTAATTGAAGAAAATAATATAACCTTTTACTTCTTGAAGATGTTCACATGAAAAGCAGAAGAAAAATATTGGCTAAGACCAATTTTATTAAAAATTTAAATATGTAACTGGTTTCAAAACTAAACTCCATTAATCTAATCAATGTTTAACTGCTTTCATACTTTTTCATTGGTAATTATCGAATGTTATGGTGCCTTGCGCAACTAAATACTGTCTAGACGGCTTTCAATGTTTTACTAATTTTTTTAAATAAAAAATTGAAATCAAATCAGATAACCAAAATTTGACACTAACACCTAAATGACACCAATAAGCATATTATCGAGCATAGTTACAATCGATAAGAAATATTAAAGTTAAACTTGTAATTATTCATGGATTTGTTAGATTTAAATATTATTGAAATTTTTTATTTCAACTTACCAACACCGCATTATCAAATCTCAGAATGGTTATAGGCTCCTCGGGGAGGTATGCACATCTGAGGTCAATTATTGCTTAGTCTGATGAATGATAAACAATAATCGAGTCAAGGCGTAAAGAGGGGTTTTTAAAATACCCCGAATTAAGAAAGATTAGAAGTGCTCAAGTGCACTGGCTCAAATAGAAATAAAAAATATATTATATTTATTATTTAAAATATTATAATAATATAATAATATTATAATAATGTGGTAGTTATCTTTAAGGTATATATCAACAGATTCACGAATTTCATACAGCAATGTTTCAGATATTTTTTATTTATTTACGTTTCTAATGTAAACTTCAGCATTTGATTTAAATTTAGATGAAATTTACGTGTTTTTATTATTTTAACTGATGAATTGCCTTAGTTTTTCCAAATGAATTATTTTTAAAGAAAAATATAATTTAAATTCATTTGAAGTAATTGTGAGAAACTTGACGCAAGTATCTGTGCAGTGCGTGGCTTTATAAAAAATTATGGTAAATCTTAACGCAATAACTACGTTAAACAAGTGTATTCCCCTTCGGAGCGCATTCGTTTGAAATATTTTGTAAAATAAATTAAAAAAAAGTGTAATTAGAAAATTATCGCAGTAATTATTATGTTTTAATAATAATTTTAAGTGCCTTAGTTTAGTTAACAATTATTTGGGGCAAGCAAATATTTTCCGCTGTGCTGCTTTATGAGATTACTGGACCAGCAACAGACGCTCCCATTATTACCAGTAAACCAAAGCATAAATGTGTTTCATATTGTATTCAAATAACATAAATGATTAAATATTTATTTAAAATTAAGTGAATTGTTAGTAAATTTCTTGAATTATATTGTCATAATAAAAACACATAACTTAATCTAAAGAAACTGTCGGTAGTGGAATACATATTATACATGGGTCTTCTGTAGTATATATATAACATAGTAACATTCAAACAAGGCACTGAAACGCAACTATGTGTGCTAGTAATCTAGTAATTAACAAATGAGAAGATAGATAGAAGTAGTAAAATATAATCACCACATACCTTTTCTTATATACTCCTTCAAATTATTCCAGTGTGAAATTTTAAAATAACAATTTATTTATTTTATAGTTTGTTTTTAAACTCTATTCTATGAAATTATGTTTTTATACGACATTTGACACTGACAATCCAGTTTCTAGTCTCTGCGGCACACTTTTGACTTGTGCTTCACTTCGGACTAATTCTTTAACAGTTCAAATGTCTGTCGAAATTTTTATTATGGTAAATATTATAAGTGTGTTATTCATATACTTTTGAGCAATAAATAGAGATTCCTAGAATTTCTAGTTTTTCATCTCATATTTAGAACTATAAAAAACTCTAAAGGGGTCACATTAGTGTGGCATAAAATAGTTCACTAATCTTTTGAATATGTTTGTTGTCACAGTGAAATCACTGAAAGGGTACTCGCATAGGGAGAAGAACTTAAAAGGCTAAGAAAAGTTCTTTAAAATCACTTTCATCTAAAAATTTTATGGTGACATTAAAGCACAATTAATATGATATAAATTTATTTATTATATAATACCATTAAACAATTCTTGAATAAACAGTAAATATAAAAAAATTATATATGATACACATAGTAAGAGTTGTTGAATCGGATTGTTGAAGATTTATGTTTGACAATACCAACAATTTTGCCAGCAGGTTTATTTTTCAACTGCCAGATTTTAGTATATATCTCTTTTTACGTATTTCGTATGTTAAAACATAGTACTAAGTTCTTAATTTAATTGTTTCTATTTTATTCTATTGGATTGCAATTTAAATGTTTAGACGTTAAACAGCTACAGAAGTAGACAAGTTAAGGCTCTTACTTTAACTTATTTAATTAATTTATGCACTGAATATATTCATGTAGGCATATAGATTTTATATACACACATTTATCAGTTTTATATAAAAGTTCTTTAAATTATTATTTAATTTTATACTCTCTTTAATTTTAGTATAAGATTATGGCCTGATGAATGCTGTCAGCACACAGTTTTGAAGAGATTATTGCTTAAATATCAGAATGTCGTCACAATGGTGGATGCTTCACAGATATGTATATGAAGTTAAGGGTTGAAAGACATAATTTAAGGTGAGCAACATGTCAACATCATTAAAACAATTGATAACATTTAGCTTATATTTAGTTGTATTTAGTATAGCTCAATAAGTATTATATTATTATAATCTTCAAATATTCAATAGATTTTCCGCCAGTTTGGCATGTGTACCAATATTGCAAAAATCACAAACTCTAAGGGCCAGAGTAATATATTATCTTCGTTTATCTTATGTAAAACTATCACGCATGGCAACCGTTAATTGTTTACTTATGTTTTAAATAATGCTAAATGTCCTGAAAGAATTTATTATGCACAAAACGCTGGTTAGTAGCCAGGCCTCTAGCTAGTAACTCAAAATGTTTATCTTATAAAACGGTCATAATGCTTTGAACGAATTGAATGAATGAATACGTATGTGTTTTAATATAAACCTTCGATTTCTTTGATGATTGAAGTCTCTCAAAGTACCCCTGGTTAAGTGTATAGCAACGCCATATGTGATTACTTCAAATTGCAAGCTTAACTTAAACAATTATCTGTGCAAGTCTTAGCAACACATTGCTAAAATCAAAAACTATTGCAAATTTGATTTATGTTCATTTGCTATACTTTTTTGGATTCTTATAAAACAGAAAATTCAGAGAAAGAATATATACACAATTTCATAGTTAAAAATCTGCCTCACATGTGTAATTACAGCAGTTCGACTACATAGTTTTTTCTACATAGTTTCAATATATTGAAAGCTTTTGGAATGCTGGGTGATTTAAAAAAACTCGTTCATAACAAAATACATCATTCTATCAAATCTACATCAACTAAGAAATCTTTTATTTATAGCTATATGTTATTAGAGTATCCCAAAAATAATGAACGAACTTTTTAGGTTCATCAATACATGAGACAGATGCATTATTATCTATAACGAATGAATTTCTTCTTAATTTCAGATGCAGTTGAAATAAATTGGCTGGCCAACTATTTTAAATAATATGAAGACGATAGGAGGTCACAATAACAACTTATTTGGACTGTTAAGCGATTTACAATATTATTGCCATGTTGCTCCTGGTTGATTTGAGGTTAAAAAAATTATTCAGTTTGTGGCACAACAACAATATAAAAATAATAATAATGAATTATTATAAAATAATTATATAGTTACGAAGAAAAACAGAAAATTACACGCAGTACCAATGTCATGGAATGTTAATAATTGGAAAGATTACATATCCTGTAGAAGTCAGATTGCAATGAAATATAAAATGGAATACAAAAAATTCATATTTTTAATTTATTAAAAATAAATAAATGTGGAAGAATTAAAAATATTTTCTTATATTTATTTAATTTATTCTTAAATATTTATATCTTCTTCTCTCCAAGTACGGCAGAGGCAATGTTGTAAGCATTGATTTGTGACGTCATTCAAGTATCGACCCAAGGCATTTTCATAGAAAGTGTTTAGTTATTCGTGTAGTTTTTTTTTTTTATTTTCCAACACTAAAGCCATTAGGTTTTTGTATTTTACCTAAGATAAACTGCGTCTTCGCCATGTTAGTTGGTTTTTTTTTTAAAGTCACAATTTTCCATTTAAGCTCCAATAATCATAGAAAGTTGTTTTAAACACATATTTTGAGCATTTCCCAATGATATTAGTAATTGTTGAAGTACCAGATGTTCTCGACCTACCATATGATCACGTGTTTACATGCAGACAGTTCTTGCAAAATAAACAAGTACATCGGGCGTACCCTATCCGACAACCATTATGAGGCAGTCGGCCTCGTATGAGACCTCGGTCGGTCTTCCTTACTTTATTTTATTATTTCACTTTTATTTTTAAGTTATTAGTTCTGCTCATTTTTAAACGAAAGCATTTCTATCGCATTAAAACTAAGATTTAGACTAAGATTAAAATGAAATGCTTGAGTAAATATATTTTTTAAAGTATTTTTGTTCACATTTTGAAATGAACGCTTTTTTATTAAAGAATAATTAAAGAAAATATGGCTAAATTCTTTAATTTGTAGTCCTTTAGAAATAAAATAAAGTTTACTGAGCTTAATATGCAACACTGAAGATTAACTTCATACATAAAATAGAAAATAAATTGAATAAAAATGCATAAAAATGCCTTATGGCACAGAATTGTGTTCTGAAAGTTTGTAGATAGATACTCCACCAATAATTCTGCAATTAGTCAAATATGTAAGCAGAATTAAAAAAATGCTATGACAAAAACATGTTGAGAGTGCGGTAATTGTTAGAATATAGCAACTATGGTCCAATAAGGAGCTACATAGCAAAAACACAATCAGTTAATCGTGTTGCCAACAGTAGCAAAAGGTTTTAATTGGCTGCTGTCTTCAAGTAGCAAGTGTTGTTCAAAGCAATCCCAAAACAGAAACCAAATATTTGCACTGCCATCAGGTAATTCAGACAAAAACCAACATTTTTTTGTATAGTCATGGGTGCGTTAATCGGAAATCTTATGGATGTTGTTAACATGAACGCGTTAGAGTAATTTTCTCAGCGGACGAGACACACTAGCACAAGATGCAGAAGTTGCTAATTTGTAAGATTTTTCAAAATTTTAAGATTTTTTATTTTATCGGACTTACTTCATGCTATTGATCTAAGCCGAACGAACTGTATGCCTTAAATTTAAAATGCTTAAATATTCCCTATACATTGACGAAAGCTATTAAATCATTGTGTTTGAACACATTGAGATATTTTATAGAAAATCTTTATTCAACAAAAAACTTCTGTCTTAAAGCAATTTCACTGTTAGCAACTTATAAAGGATAATTTATTTATTCTTAGATAAAATAATTATTTTAAGTACACTGTTGTCTATAATACGTAATAATAATGGATCATTTTAATAATTCTAAACTAGGCTTAGTAATGGCAATTTTGTAATAATACAAGATGTTATCATTTTTTTAATTTAAAAATACGGTTAAAAAAATTACCACCGTATATTGATGCAATTATATTCGCGATTTAAATTTCTAATAGATATATAAAATTTCTTTCAATGTATCTCTTCGACTAGCAGGAATTTGATTTATATTTGTTTATTGAAAATAATCTTATTAATTTTATTATTATGTTGAGGCTAGTTGAGTCAGTGCACCTGACCACTTTTACTGTCTATTAACTGCGAGGTTTCTTCAAAACCCCTCTTTGCGCCTTGACTGGACTATTGTTTATCACTTCATCAGACTAAGCAATAATTGACCTCAGATCTGCATACCTCTCTGAGGAGCTTGTAACCATTCTGAGATTTGATAACGCGGTGTTAATTAAAATTGACATAATCTTGTCTTGATATTTTCGAAAAATCTATAAACATTGTAAACAGAGTATACGTCAATACATAAAATTTAAAAAAATTTCATATTATGAGTTATGTAAAAATATTTAATAAGATATTCAAAAAGGTTTGTAGCTTCTTTTAATAAGTAAACTATGGAATTTGTATTAACTATTGCAGACTGGAACTGTTGTGCCATTTTCAGGCAAGAAGTAGGTACAGCTATATCAAAAAATATTCTATTAAAATATAGACTTCCGAATAAGATATGAAAGAAGTGAATTAAGTCAATCAACAAATTTTATAGAAGCGACAACTCTATTGTAAGAGTTTGCAATACACATCACACTACTTACTTGTAAGGGTTGAGTTGCATTAGATCTCGAAATTCTTGAAATTGCAAACATGCAAATATGCAAAGTAATGCAACACTTCAGCTCACCTTAAATTCAAAGTTTGAATAACCTTCATATAAAATTTCGCTGAATCATACCACAGCAGCCGACAGCATAACATAAAGCAACTGCAACGAGCTGATATTAATCTATGTTGAAACATGTGATCATCCTTTAGGTAATGTGCCTGAAATGGTAAAAAGGACTGTGATTACAACTTGCTCATTACAAGAATTTATTACGTGACGTTGATGTTGACGCCAAAGTCGAGGTTAAAGTGCCGCCATAGCGAAAAATGTAAATTTCATAAGAATGGGTTGAGGTCTACCGTCTCTGTAAAAGCGAAATGAAAGAAAATTGTAATTGAGCAGCACACAAATTTCAGACTTAATATGCCGCTGGCATAATCTTATTTCCATTGTTGCTGTGATCTACAATTTGAAGCCATCAATCACGATCTCAATTTGCATAAATCAAGAAAAGTGTCTGACATTCATTCAAGAAGCAAAAGTGCCTCCCTAATGTTTCATGCCTACAAATCGACTTCTAAGCAGAAGAAACTCTATCCTTTGATTTTATTGTGTTTTGCCCAGCACATCATTACTGCAAAGTGCCATTCGCTGCATTTTGTTGAGTAAATAAAATTTCATATTACAGTATTCTATTGTTTCCTGAGATACTCACTTCGTTCAATATTTTCTGTTTTTACAAAGTACATAACTTATACGATTTGTGTACTCTCTAGCTGCATAAATAACTCTTCAAGGCCACGATTTAACTTCATTAAGGAAGGGTTAACGTAAGGAATAAGGCCGTAAATAGCGAAGAACAGATTTTGTTGAAAAATGAACTTGGTACTTATACCTAAGTTAATAGACGGATTCCAGATATTTGCATTTTTAAAATAAATATAAAAAATTTTTTTTAGCCTGATCACACAAAAATAATATATCAATTTATAAAAAGGTTTTTTTTCGAAAAGTAGTGAACTACAACAACAAAAATTCATGTTTATATTATTTTAACTAATTGAATTTTTGGCTACCAAATACCCATCATGAGTGATCTTGGAAATAATTCTTGTATTTAATTATTCGTAAATAGTTTTTTAAGACTGCAAGTACCAGCAATCGAACTCGTGCTCTGCCAAATTTGATGCTCAGAGTCAGCGCTCCTTAACCAACTGACTCAAAGCCGTACTTGACTTTTATGTACACATTTTTTTCTGAAGTTGTGTTAATTTGCAGTAAAAGTTTTATTAAAAAATTCAATAGTTATATTTATATTAGATCGAAATCTTAAACCAGCTGTGGAATAATTGAATTAATTAATCATATTTTTTATTGAAACCAAATTGAAATGAAAATGATACGGTATATATTATTTTCTTTATAATATATAATATATATATAAATGTAGAAAACAAATATTTTAAGTTTATTTTGCATAAACAGACTAGATTAGAGTATTTGGTGTTTATTCCTTATATACCATGTTTTATATATAAAACAGGATATATTTACATATATACGATTACGACCTAAAATAAATAAATTATTGTTGTTACTTTTCAATTTATATTTAAATAGCAAAAATGTTTTAATTGGACATGGAAGGTAAGTAATATTTCGAATATTTATAGAAATATCAACGATTTCATTTATCTGTTTATTTTTTGGTAAGAATTGGAACCTAAAATGGTTGTTAAAATCATTTGTCGTTCACTTACGACACACCCAACTTCAAGCTCTTCAATATTCAAGACATGAAAGCTCAATATTTCAACAACTTTTTTATTTTCTTATTTTTCTTTTGTGTAAAATTATCTATCAAAATATCATGGGATATGACTTCTCCGTACAAGTACCTTACATATGTTTTATGAGTTCATTTCAAGCTAAAATATTGCTTTTAAAAATATTTTAATTGAAATGGCGACAGTTTTTTGAAAATATTAAAACATTAAGAATAATAATAAATAAATAAAAATCATAAATCATTGGCTGTGAATGCCCTTTCAAGCGTGCTTATGTCTTAAAAGTATTTGTGTCAAGAATATCAATGTCGCCTTCGGTGAAGAGGAGTGCTGCCAGAAGTCCATATAAAACCACTTTTAATATTTTTGTTGTTGTAATCGTAGAGTAAATCTAAAAATAAAGATATACTTAAGAAAGTGTAGGAAAGAAGTGTTTGCAAAACATTTATTTAAATTTATATATTTATTATAACGGTAATAAGACCTAGTAAATTTGTGCATAGTTATATAGCGTTAGGGCAGCGCCGGCCTTTGCCGGTCTTGAACACCAATGAGAGAAGTGAAAAATTACAGTTCAAAGAAAACAATGCTGCCAAAGTTAATAAAAGAAAGTATGAAATAAGA